TATATATATTGCATCCACTCATATAAGACAAATATTAATATACAGGAAAAATCAAATAAGCAATCAGGCAATTGTCACAAAGACTTAACACTATATTGTCACAAAGACATAGATCTACTACACAAAAAATTGTTAAGAAATAAAAGAACTGATCTAACCTTGTAAACAAATGGACAGAGTAGACCTTTACAGAATCTTCTACCTAACATCAGAATATATATTCTTCTCAGCTGCTCATTCTGTAAAAATACCACCTACTAGCACATAGATCATGTTTAAGTAAACACAATTGAATTGAAATTATTCTACAGCTGTTGGGCATGTAGACTGGCACAACTACTGTGGAAATCTGTGTTGAGATGCAGGGATTAAAGAAGTTGGGGAGATCGCTCAGTGGAATAATTGCTTGCCTGTCAAGCACAAGGTCCTGAGTTTGACGCCTGGTATCACCAAAAGCAAACAAACAAACAAACAAAAAAAATTCTTGGATTAGAAGTCCCATTTGAGGGCCAGCCAAATAGCTTAGTGGATGAAAGAACCTGCTTAGGCAGACACAGGGGCTAGGAGTTCAATCCCTGGGCCTTCTGTGCTGCCCTGCACCTGGGGCACACTGAGATGGCAATAGAGACTGGGTGTGGTGGTGCACACCTATAATCCCAGATCTTGGGAAGCTGTAAACAGGCAGATCATTACCAGTCTGATCTAGTAGTGAGACCTGGACCACCCTGTAGACCCTTCCCCCACCCTAAAAACAAGAAGTTGCATTTGACCTATCTCTGCCAGGCTTGGATATTTTTGTCCCAAAATTGAAATCTTTGTTCTACAGCAGTATATGGGCAGCCATGTTTATAGCAGTACAATTTGACATATCTAAATCTTGGAAACAAACCCAATGTTTATCACTCAAGAAATGGAAAAAGGATATGGTATTTTTATACAATAGAGTTTTACTCAGCTATAAAAAAGAGAAATTCAACATTTTTATAGGTAAATGGGTGCAATTAAAGACCATATTCATAAATTCACAAGTGAAATGAACAAGACTTGCATGTCTCAACATCGTATTGTCTCCCTAGTGTAAAACACTGAAAGAGTAAATTCAAAAGGTACAATACTGAGAAAGGGAAAGTAACTTTTCAAAACTGCTTCAAATGAAGAACTACTTGAACAACTTGCATTGGGGAAAGGATAAAATAAAGAAAGAAGGAGACATATATATATATATAATGTGTTGCCAAGACCACCACCACCACCATCATCTTGGGAGTCTTGCAGACCTGAGTTTTGACCCAGTACCTGTTGTGAACAAGTGAACAATGGGATAAGAGTGCTACCAATTTTTATTGGATTATTGAAAGTAGCAATTAATGCTTAGTAGTTTGATCAATTTTGCATGAATATATCTGGTAGTATGAACAATTACTTTGAAGACAACAATATGCAATGTAACAGCCATTGTTAATTTCCTGTCATCCTATTTTGAAATTCTGTATGAATTTTATTGTTTTTGTTCTGTTTAAAAATGGCATAAGAAATGAATTTCCTCAGTAAGAGTGATATACAGTATTTTGTATTTTATGGAAATAGTTATAATATTATTGGGTGAAATACACAGAATAACTTGAGACAGGCAACTAGATGATGTTGCACGCCAATCAAGAGAAGACATATTACCTGCCAGGGGGCAAACTTCATGACTTTTCTATTTCTCATTGTGGGCCTTTGTACTTCTTCAAAAAGCATCGCATGGAGGGCATGAGCCACAGCATACACAGCATTATATATATTGTAGCTTCCATCACTCATTGTTGTGTCAAAACGATTTCGAGGCAACCAAGCCACAGAAGCATTAGGAGTACAGTTTTTCAGGGCACAGTCAGATTCAGAGAATGAGCAATGGAAATTGTTGGACCAATACATAACAAGGTAAGTGTCTTCTGGGTATTTGAAAGGGGTAGCTTCATGAACAAAATCTTTGAAACCTGAAATATGTTTGTGATGATGTGAAAAAACAAGAATCCCATGGAATGGGTCCAGTATAAAATTTCTCCCTGACAGGTCAGCATGCCATTGTGAATTTGTCACCCAAACTTTCCATGTCACTAAGTGATGCACTATATTGTAGTTGACATCATGTCGACTATTAGTATCATAATAAATAACTACCACATTGACTGATGATGTGTCTGCAGTCAGGATATCATGTGTCTGTGTGGCTGACATATATGATACAGCCACCGTTGACACCATTCTCACAAAGGCTACACAGACTTTGTTTGTGTCCATCTCAGCTCTTATATCTGAGAGAAACTGAAGACCTTTATGGCCTTCTGTGATAAGCAGACCCACCCAGGTCCAGTGGAAATGAACCATCAAGGAAACCATGGCATGGGCCAAGTAACTGTCCTTTGGGGCCACCTGGTGGAGTGAAGGATACTTGCCACTGTCCATCAGAGTAGAGTCAAATGAGCCAAAGGTAACCTTAAAGGAAAAAGAAAACCGAGTAATACACTGAAGTGTTAGAAAGCATAGTAGTTTACCTGAATCACACATAGTAACCATTGGCAGTTGTACAGGACATGAATGTTGTGATTTTTTTCTAATCAATTCACTTCTCACACACTCATAAAATGTGCTGTACTCAGAAACTCAGGATATGTCTTCATTTTCTTTCTCCAATGGAGTAAAATAAAGTGTGGGTAAACAAGAAAGCATTTGTTTATAGAATGTAGTGTATTATATGCCTTGAATGATGTTAATCTCAGCCTCATTTTTAACCCTTTATATTCCTAGGAGTTGATGCACCATGGAGGTGCTCCCCTCATTTCCTATCCTGCCAACCCTCACCTGTGGAAATTTGTAGAGTTCCAGCAGTGGTCCAATCTGAGCTGAAGCACCCCATGGCATTTCTGTCAGTAGTGCTACACACTTTGTTTCTCTCCCACACATGTAATTAGGGATCACGTGTTGTCCTGTGAGCAAAATGAAGGAATTTTCTAGTATCCTCCAATGACTGTAAATGAAATTATGGAACTCATAGCCCAAAGAAATGTTGGGTAAAAGATGAGGATTCTTGTTGATTTCTTCTGTGGCAAAAGTGAGGGCCAGGAAGTTCTGGTAGTTGCTGGGCATAAGCCTGCATAGACAGCACAGAGTTATTTAGGGAAAACTCAGTCAATGATTACTTACCTATATGATATGAATGTTTGTGTTCCTCACCAACACTTATATCATCAGAACCTACTCATGAATGTCATCATATTGTAAGCATAATTGTTTGAATGTAATTAGAATTAGATGCATGAGGGGGGTGAAATTCTCATGAAAGCATTTAGTGGCATTACAGAATTGAAGCAAGAGTTGCTTTACAATTATGATTTGTGAGGACCATTAAGGAGACGGTCACACATAAACTAAATAACATATTACTTCATACTTCCAGCCTGTGCAGCTATTAAAAGTAAATGATTACTGATTTGGACAAATAGTTGTTGGTCTATTTTTATGCAGCAGGCTGAAAAAAAATAATATATAAGAATGAACAGTGAGTAATTTAATTTGTCTTTGAGAGAACAGAGTTCCATGAAAATTAAAATTTATAAGTGATGCAAGTGAATTAACTTTTACTTTATAGAGACCTTTGACCTTTCCATTTATATAAAGGAAATTTTAAGAAATGAAGAACTTTACGTTCATGTTGCAATTTGGGAATGGTCTTTGGCATCAACTAAGATAATTCCATGTATTAACACATCACTTGATGTTTAACACTACATACAACACTGATCTTCACAATACTGAAATGTGAGAGAAGAGGAAAACTAATTAAGTGTAGTTCTCTGATACATACAATTACCTTTCCTAAACCTCTATCCCATCAAAATTGTGTATCTGCCACAACCAAAATCGAGGAGACTCACACCAAAGTCAAACCAACAAATGAGAAGAAAACAGAAAATATAGAGAAATATTTGAGAAAAGCAAGGGGGAAAACAGACACCTACAAAACTCAACATTGTAAATTTTTTTATTAATTTTATTTAGAGAGAAATAGCAATGAGACAGTTTCAAAACCGATTAGTAGGACAGTTTCCATAATTAATACATTGCACATTGTTGTTTTTGTAGTGGTTATTCATAGTACAAGATGCAGACATGATATCCTGTCCAAACACTATTAGTACAAATATTACTTTTCATTGAATTAAGAGAAAATAGCTGCATATCAATGCTACTTTGTATATACAGATACAAAATGGTCTTTCATTTATGTCTCCTTTTTTGTTTAGTTTTGTCAGAGATGGGTATTCCATTGCCACTTAAATATTGTAGATGTGTAAATTCAGCAAAATAATACAGTATAGTCCAGTAGTGCACAATAGTAGTGGGTTATCCGTAGCACTGGCAATGTCAGAAGTTGTTGACTTGGGCCTTTCACAACTAACATTGTAAAATTTAAGCATCAACTTTTATAAAGTACAAAAATAACATAGAGGCAAAAATAATATTTTAGAAGTGCTTATGACAGTCAGATGAAAATTCTGTTCATCTTCCCCACAGTTTTGTGAATAAATAATCTCTCAGAGAATGACAGTCTTATCTACCTACCTCTTTTTATAATTTGTAATTGTTTTACCTCTTGCTTCTTTGTTACTTTCTATTATTTTTATTATTGTATCCTCAATATTAGCAGGGATCCTGACATTTAAAAAACATCTGGATAGATCAGATAAGTAAAAAAAAAATTTCTCATGAGTCACACTTTGCCATCATGTCTGCTCCTGATTAAACACAGACTCCACCCAATACATGGTTGTCTAAAGTCTACATGCAATGAGCTGAGGCACAACATGGGTTCTGAAACCTTGGCTGAAGCTTGTCTCACAGGAAGTGAGCTCCACACAGCGAGGAGGCAGTATTCCTCTGCACATCTAATTAGATGATTCAGCTTTGATATTCGCCATCGAAAGGATACTCTGCCAAAGGCGACATGCCAGTTATAATACAAGGCCTCCAGTTTCTGTTCAAGGTGAGAATAGCCGCCATCTCCTCATCAGTCAACTCAAAGTAAAAGACCTGAGAGTTCCCAATAATGCGAATTGGTGTCACAGAGTTGGGGATCACTGCCACATTCTTCTGGATATGGAACTGGATCAGAACATGGGCTGTGGTTATTTTGTACTTTGCAGCAATATCCTTAATCTTGTGATCCTCTAGTATTGAAGGGTCCTCTGGCTTGGACCAAGGTCTGTCTGGAGAGTCCAGGCGATGGTAGGCAGTGACAATGATACCCTTGGAGTGGTAGTATTGGATCAGTTTTTCCTGGCTGAGGTATGGGTGACACTCCACCTGATTTGTTACTGGTTTATATTTCAGCCTAGGCTTGTTCAAGAGCTTTTCAGTCTGGAACTGTTTGAAGTTGGAGACATTAAGAGCTTTTACCAACCCCAGTTAGTAATCATTGATCAGCTTCTCCATGACCTGCCATGCATCCAGGAATGTTATTTTACTGGTAAGGACATTGCTTGTATCATCTATAGAGATGAGTTCCTTCACAACCTGAAGTCTTTGTGTAAAGTGGATGAGGTAGATGTCCAGGTAGTTCATTTTCAGGTCCTTCAGGGTCTTCTGGAAGGTCTCCTTCACCAGGCTTGAATGTGGACCACAACTTGATAACAAGAGGTGTTCCTGCCTCATGAGCTTCTCTTGAATCTTCCCTTGGATGGCTTCTTCTACCTCATTCTCCTTCCAGTAGATGTAGGCACAATTGATGTGGCGATATCCTGCGTAGATGGCTGCCTTCATGGCTTCTTTGACTATCTAGGAGGGACTGTCAGGTGCCCAGGCCCACGTTGGACCTCTTGGCTTTGGTTCTGAGCTCCACAAAACTGGCCATGGTTAGTGCAGAAGCACTTGTGAGGGAGTAGAAAGACACGCTGTGTCTTAGTGAGAAAGGCTGGCTGTCTACATATTGATTCTTGATTAATATATTCATAGATATTCAAATCTTTTTCGATACTATGTGAGTGATATTCACATATTCTTACTGTTTTATGTGGTGGCATACAAATACTAGGTCTCCCACACTTGAAATGTACTCTTACATTGATTTATATCCCTAGCTCAGGATATGTATGCTTATTTTATATTTGGAGAACTCTCCATACTGTTTTCATAGTGATTGTACTGCTTTACATTTCTACATGATTTGTTTTGTATAGAGAGCCAGTCTAAAAATAAAAGGCAAAATAAAAGATAGTAGAAAGTAGTGAGATAGATCAAATTCAAAATGAAAGAGGATCAAAAAAGGGAGGAATGGGGGCAGAGGGAGGGCTGGAGTTGAAAGAGTAGAGACGGAATGTTATGCACATGTTTTAGCTCCAAAGAATGTGGATATCATACATGGAACACATGGACTAAATATTTTCTATTTTACTTTAAAGAGGAAAATACAAACAAATAACAGGAACAAACACAAAAACAAAACAACATAAAACAATAAAAATGGTGCAGAATTTCAAAACAATAATAGGAAATAAACAATGATTGTTATAGTATATATTTTTCTCATCAACTTTGCTGCTCAGATTAAAAGGTATAGGCATGTAAGATTGTTAAAACAATTAAATATTAAATCTTCCTTTCAATGAACATTAAATTTTATCCTTGTCGTTTTATTTTTAAATTTATTTTAAAGAGAGTATAAAATAATAGATAAGACATATGAGACTATGTGCATTTTTAAAAATGACGAAAGGCATTTAGCTGTGGTTGCCATACTGCACATTGCTCTCTTCAGTGTAGTTGCTCAAATTACAGATATTAGCATATAAGAGGTTGCAAATAAAAGTTTTAAATTTTAACTACTTTCAGAATCCTGTTAGAGGAGGTGGGGATTGAACTTGGGCCCTTGCACTTGCCAGGAAAGCATTTATTCCACTGAGCCATCTTCCCAGCCAAGTCAGCAACTTCTGTCATTGCCAGTCTTATGGAAAACACACTACTATTATGGGCTACTGGACTATACTGGGATATTTTGCTGAATTAAGGCACCTACAATATTTAAATGACAATGGAATACCATTCTCTGACAAAACTAAACAAAAAGAAGGATATAAATGAACGACCATTTTGTATCTGTATTTTCAAAATAGGATAGATACACAGCTGCATTCTCTTGGGTCACTGAATAGAGATTTGTTCAAATAGTGTTTTTGGACAAGATATCATGTCTTCATCTTGTACAATGAATAACAACTAAGACAACAATATGCAATGTATTAACCTATTGAAACTGTACTAGTAATCAGTTTTGAAACTATCTCATTGCTATTTGTTTCCCAATAAAATTGTTTTAAAAAACTAAAATTGAGGCCAAGAAGTCACATTAAAAAAAAACCTGTTAGAAATTAGTAATATAGGCATCTTAGCTATCCTGTGTACATAATTACATGATTTTTATCCTTGTTTTTTTCCTGTCTTTTCTCCTTTCCCTCCTATCAATTGTTTATTGAATATTCTCAGTTTCTTTCCATTCTACTATATCTAGTGTACCTTTCAGTTTTTATTCATTCTTCCAAATTCTTACACTAGGGACATAATACAATGTTTACACATGTGGGTCTGATTTATTTCACTTACAAGTATAGCCTCTAGTCGCATCCATTTTCCTATGAGAGCCTCAAGATTATTTTTTTATACCTGAGCAATACTCCATTGTATAAAAATACCACATCTTTTTATCCATTCCTCAACTGATGGGTATTTAGGTTGTTTCCAAGATTAGGCTATGACAAATTGACCTCCTATAAACATGGGTGCCCATATATCATTGTGATATGATGTTTTCAGTATTTTGAAAAGATACCCAAAAGGAGATTATCTGGGGTGAGTTGGACTTCTAATCTTAGTTCTTTTGAGGAGTGTCCATATTGCTTTCCATCATGGTTGCATGAGTCTACACTGCCACCAACAATGGAGAAAAGTTCCTTTTTCTGAATGAGACTAATAAACTAAGTGAAACTTATTAAAATAGCATGCAATAATAAATATATTTTAGTATTGATGTGTGTCTTCTATATGAATCTCATAAATTAGGCTTCTGTAACTTTCAAATATTATATTAGTTCCCA